CTCAAGACTGATGGTCACAATTGTTCATTCTGTGAGTTTCGCTCTCCGGGACCAGGGTTTAGCAACCCCCGGTCTCATTTCTGATACTGCTATACTAAAAAAATAGTTTTACTATAGCAGGGTGATAACACCTTGGTCAGATTGATTCTGAACAAGTCAGGAATAACCCCTGGTGAGTAGAGCCTGTGCTGTGTGTTCGTGGTTCATGTTGCCCTCATCATGTTTTTGTTGATCTATTTTAGTGGCGATTTTAGCATGTAACTCTTGGTGGGGCAAACTCAACTTTCTTTTTAAATGCATGCCAGCAAAGCCACTAAACAATACATGAATTGCACTATAATGGTGACAAACGGTTCCCACAAACTGTTAGAGCCTACATAAAGCTGCCCCAACAGCAGAGCTTTCTTTTCAGCACCATGGAGTGAATCCTTACCACTGCTACATCTGGCTATCAGCGGAGCTTTGTCTGGCAGAGAAACAGTTCATTCAGCCTCATTTACTGCCTTTTTAAAAAACATAGCTGATATGGCTGACTTGCTTAAACAAATGTGGTTTCTACTGCCAATTGAGATGTACAAACTATGGCATAAGGGAACGATGAGCGGATAAGCCGCAATCCGTAATTTCGATTAAGACATTAATGAGCGAGCTAAGACGGACGTAGTCAATATAACTATTTGTTCAGCACTTTTCAGCGACAGAATTCAGAACACGGGCTGTTCTTACAGTATTCTCCCTGTACACCAAGTCAGAACCGTAGGATAAATAAAGGGGGCATTTAAGCAGACAATGAAAGCTCTTACAATATTCAATTATTATATTTCTCTAAAACAGGCTATAGGCTACATGTGCACCACAAAGTCAGAACAGTGAGGGGGAAAGGGACCTAATTATTAGGGTGAGGCACATGGGCTACTAACAGCTTACTAAACAACATACTTCTTAGCTACGGTATACATATCTCCCTAGCATATTACATAATTATGCAGCAGCATACGATAAATTTTTGGACTCACCATGTTGTGCTGTGCTCACTTGAACAGGAAGGTGGCGCGGCTGTCCTTCTTGTGGGCAAATTTTGTCATCAAACTTTGTCATTCTCTGGATTTATGGTGCTTTCAAGACAACTGGGAAACAACGTCGAATCATGACGTCAGTGATCTTCAGGTCGGAGCTCTAGAAAGAGGGCTGAGTTCCCGACTTGGAATTCCGAGTTGGATGACCGTTCAAAACGTATTTTCCCAGTCGGAGCTCGTGTTGTGTAATGTTTATGTCCAATGGCCGATGAGCACCGATACGTTGTATCTATAATTTCTCTTCATATGACAAGGATTGAAAATGATTTTCCAGTAGATTATCGACTTGATTCATGATGATGACTGCTTGTCTAGCTTGCTAGCTAAGATTTTGAAAGTATAATGTCTACATGATCAGTCCAATCAAAGCTACGGTAGATATAACGTGATTTGACAATTTTATCTGTAGCCAATGACCTTGAGCCTTCTTGGATGGGCACTTCTTATGTAAATCTATGGCAGCACCCAAGGGGCTTGAATTTTCGACCTCTCCCTATAGATATAGATTTAGAGAACATTACCAACCCCTACACTCTGTATTTTCCGCTGGCTGCCCCACCACCACAGAAAGCACCGAGCTAGGCTGAAACACCTGCATTTTGGAGCTGCCTTACTCAAGAAAGCAAAAAAAGAGACCATGTCTGTATGTGGCTTTATTAACTCAATGTTGTTTTTTGACATTGTTTGCAAACTGTTATGTGACACGTATTAATGCCAAAATAACATGCAAAACAGGCACATAAATATATATATATACACTACCAGTCATAAGTTTGGACACCTACTTATTCAAGGGTTTTTCTTTATTTTTGCTTTTTTTTTTTACATTGTAGAATAATAGTGAAGACATCAAAACTATGAAATAACACACATGGAATCATGTTGTAACCAAAAAAGTGTTAAACAAATCAAAATATATTTTATATTTGAGATTCTTCAAATTGCCACCCTTTGCCTTGATGACAGCTTTGCACACTCTTGGCATTCTCTCAACCAGCTTCATGAGGTAGTCACCTGGAATTTGAGGTAGTCACCTGGAATTTCAATTAACAGGTGTGCCTGCACTGAATGAAGGGTCGCCACTGGTCTATTTTTGGAACTATGGTTCTATATTTGTGAATTGCCTTTCACTCTCCTCTATTAGATGTCTGCTTCTTTTGGAATTGTCGAACAAAGCTACTAAAACACGTGCCAAAATGGAGAAAGGATGGTGGTATGTGAAGGGCCAGCTGGGCGAATGGCTGGAGCTTTTAGTCGAAATATAAGATTAGGCTGAGAAGGCAGCCGTGTTTATATGTGAAATTTCTCTGACAGGGCAATAAAAATGTTTATGTGAAGCACTTGAGTTGGCTGACAAATTGGATGACAGTGATTAATTTTGAAAAGCTGTAAGGACTAGTTCAAGTGACAGTTACTACGTTTTTAATTTGGTGAACATTGGTACATTGCTGATGTATTTTATAATTTGGGCCCATTACATATTCATCTCAAAATAACAGACATTTATAATATAGTAAATAAAGAATATCCAACAGAGATTGGTAATAAATATCTACAGTAAAACTTTAGAGTAAGACTAAAATACAAACTATGCCTTCCAATAATGATAAAGTTAAGTCGGCTGTGTCCTCCCTGTGAACAAAAGTGTTTTTCTTTTTTTACCTGTTGGGAGCCACACTTGGGGCTCCGGTTATAGAGTATATAAAAATAGGAGTATGTGTAATTTGAGACACTTATTGGATAATCCTGGGGTACGGAATGTTTTACTTTTAGGTGGACAAATTAAATAGAAATTATAACTAATATTACTTTTTGTTTGGTAAAAAGGCTGTCATTATAAATAAGAATTTGTTCTTAATTGACCTGCCAGGTAAAATAAAAGTAAAATAAAAATATACAGATGACAGCTCAGCGCTGTGTACTTAAAATGTAATATATGGTGTTTATCCTGAAGGAGATACATTTACATTCACATTTTAGTCATCTAGCAGATGTGCTTATCCAGAGTGGCTTACAGTAGTGAGTGCATACATTTTCATATTTTTTTCGTACCGGTCCCCTGTGTGAATCGAACCCACAACCCTGGCTTTGCAAGCGCCATGCTCTACAAACTGAGCCACACAAGACCATATCTACATATCTAATGAAAAGGGGGTTTAACCTGGTATGAAACCAGGGAAAAAAAGGAAATCAATCATATCAAACATAGAGATAAGATACAGCAGACATGATTTGATTAGGGTTGGTACACCTCCACCCCTCAGAGCATAATGTAAACAGAGTTATGGTGATGTCCTTGGGAATTCAGTAGGGCCTGTGGAGAAATACCCCATAGGTTATGCTGAATGAAATGGAAAGGGGATACCTAGTCAGTCGCACAACTTGAGTCACAGTGTTAGAAGTGCTTTATAGATGAGGCATGAGGAGAGGTGTTACCGTACAGGACAGTTCGTTATAAACGAATTGGCATCAGTAATATTGGACCTAATCACTAGGAGGGTCCCGGATATTTGTAGGGGGTCACTACAGAGTCAACTGATAACCATTGGGGCGGTGTGGTCAGATGATATGTGGTATACATTTAATGCCGGATTCTGGGGGTAGTGTGGGGGATCTGACAGTAACTAACTAATGTAAAGCTATGCCTGTTTAATCAAGAACGGGAGACACATATTGATGACTTATCATGTGTTTCTTGTTAAAGATTGTTGTGTCCAGAATGGACTTGTGGTAATATGTATTTGTAATGGTCTAATTCCTCTGATCATTTTCTCGAGGTGACAGCCATACAGTCCCCAGATGGTACCTATATGCATCAGATGAATTTGACCAGATCAGTGCGAGACCCCACCCCATAACCAGCTCAAGAATGGCATCCACAACTGCCCTGTCCCTCAACTACTAGCCTGAGCGAAGTAACCTGGGTACAGCATCTGAGCTATCGACTGCCTGTCTCGCAGGGGTGCTGCATGTGTCCTGAGACTAAGCATTTTGGAGCAGGCATGGGGAGATCTTATCTAAACTTCAATCATGCTGCTGGTGTGTGGGAGAATCTGACGAGGCAGAATGTACAACAGGTGATTGTGGTGAAAGCTTATCTGGTTGGGGAAATACAATCTCCTGGACATTGATATAGGGACATCATCAAGGTCATCTCTAATAGTCATACATTTTATTTGTGCTGTTGTGAGTCTGAATGGTAAACTATTGGTAGAAGCCTGCCTATAATTGATTTTGGATTGGCAACAATGTTTTTGTTGTTTAAATGGCAGGTTGATTGTGGGGGTCTACACACTGTGAAATTTGTAGTAATCTATATGCATGAAGGCATCTGTGGTCATAGGGCGCAACATGTACGGTTATGTCTGCTTGACCAAAGGGGGGACTGTAAAGGGGAAATTAATTGATAAATTATTTTCCAGTAGTTTATTTACTGTTTATATTGATTGGTATGTAATAAGCATGATTGTATGTGTGGGAAGACGTTTCCCTTATTAGTCTACAATTATCTGTTGGAACTAAGTACTGATGTTCATACCTTTGACCTGTTTAACTGACAATATCAAATGTCTGCCAGTGTTGAACGTTATGGTTCAAGTTTGACGCCAGACTGAGTCGAGGGCACACTGATAATGTATCTGTGACACTATGTGATTCTGTAGCAGCTGATATTGTGACTTCCTTCAAGCCTCTCTGGTGTTTACAGGACATTAGGTTAATGTGATTAATATATAAGTGCCTCCTCAGAGAAGGCCCGTTAGACATTTTCTCTGTCTTAACGGGCAACTTCTTCCTGTTGCAATTTGTATAAAACCAGATTTATTTAGATTGACTTTATCTGCGACTGCTCTTCTTTTATTCACCTTGAAAATCCACATTACAGCTCACTCTGCTGCGTGTCCTTTGATGGTACGTCAATTCCCATTTCCTCTTACCAAATATTTCTCACATTGGAGGCAACTGAACGATTTCTCCCCTGTATGTGTCAACTGATGTACGGTATGGTCTCTGGAAAAGCCAAAACATTTGTCACACAGAGCACTGATAAGGCTTTTCTCCTTTGTGTGTTTTCTGGTGTGCTTTGAGAGCTTCCAGCTGGCCAGAGGACTTCTTGCACCTGTGGACATTATAGGGTCTATGTCCAGTGTGGGTCTTCTTATGTGTCAACTGATGTCTCTTAAAGTCTCTGGAAAAGCAAAAACATTTGTCACACTGAGAGCATTTATATGGTCTTCCTGTGTGGATCATTTCATGTCTAATCCGTTGGGATCGTTCTCCAAATCCTTTCCCACACTCAAAGCATTTATATGGTCTCTCCCCAGTGTGAGTCCTTCTGTGTGTTTTAAGTGATTCAGCGCAGACGTAGCTCTTCCCACAGTCTACACAGTGATAGGGTTTCTCCCCTGTGTGAGTCCTCTGATGCGTTTGCATAACATATTTATTGTAGAAGCTTTTGCCACATTGTGGGCAGGTGGCTGGGGTCAGCTGTACACTGTTTTCTTTTTTTGCTATGATTTCCCCAGACTTCAACATTGCAATGTAGTCTTTGGGGTGGTCCCTCTTGAGGTGCCCGTGGAAAAAGCGTTCTATGGTGAAGCCGAGCGCACATTGGGGGCATGGATAGAAGGAGGACACCCCTTTAGAGTCACCTAAAGGAAAGAGAGAAAAACATCAAATGAATTGCAGTTCTATTTCATTAAAGAGCTGTAGCTAATGAGCTAATGTAATACGATCATATCTCTACACAATAACTGCAATCCACCCCACCTATGTTACTCACTGATATCAACATTATTTGCTTTCTCATCTGTACCTGGTGCCGTCCCTGGATCCAATGATGTCCTGCTGCAATCTTCAATCTTCAATCCTACTGAAACGTCATGCTCATGGTTTTCACAGTCCTTTGAAGCAGAGATTAGGGTGAATTCAGTTGAGTCAGAAAGTCTTACATTCAACAATTACAAACTAGGCCCAGCGCTCAAGCTAGTAGCTGCTCAAGAAAGCTATGCTTTGTGTTTGTGAAATCTTAACTTTATTATGAAGCTATAGGCTTAACGTGCGACTGAACGCACTGATTCCACGTTTTTCTGTTGCTCATTAAGAAAAACTAGATTTCAGTCTTGAAGGTTCAATGTGGCACAATTACTGATGTTTGTCCCGCATGATATACCATAGGAACAAAGCCAGTACCACTTCCTCAAAATAGTCAGAATGGATCTAAGATAACTCAAGAAATCTGGAATACATTTTTACAGAGGAGGTTTTAGTGGCCCAATTTTACATCTAGCTAAGGTGTTTGGTGCAGTATTTCTCACGTAAAAAAATGCGCTACGTGTTGCCTTATGAAAACAAAGTCCGAACCGATCTGCTGCGCTGCTGGACAGGTCTGTCTCACTAGGCAGGTTTCTATTGAACCAGTTTATTTGACAAAAGCAATGTCGCAAAAAAAATATTTGCGACATCTGTAATGAAAGCAACAGCTATAGGATAAAAGTTCTAAAGGTCGAGAACATTTATCCGTTCGACAGGGGTGAATTTTTATTTTGTCAAACTTTCTTTATCGCGACAAATGAGGATGGAAACAGTGTTATTCGAATACATGATGATTGCCGAATAATTTTGAAGGTACACGTGAACTCATCACGTGACGTAACTATAAAGCTCCACTCCACATTTAAATCTAAATGCCTACTGCTTTCTAAATGTATTTTTCAACTATACAAATAATTGTCTTGACTTTCAAGAATGCCTAAATTGCTTCGACTTAGTTTTCTGGTTTGCTTGATGCATGTTTCACCATCCAATTATTTCAGATCTACAGGAGTGCAAGCCTCACCATGGCACGGACCGTGGCGATGCATTGGCACATTACTAGAATATGGCAAATATGAGTAAATTCTTGCATTCTGTCCATGCTGGCTTTTGCGGGCTACCTGAGACATGAAACAGATAGGTGGGAGGCTATACAGGCTGTTGCCAATGTATTAATGCACAATTTTCCTAAATGGATAATGGAAACATTATTTGTATTCGACACCAGGCTTTTGCAAAACGTTATTTATTTTTTAGATGTGATTTCATTATGTCCAGCTGTTTTTAATCGACACATGACAGTTAAATGGAAACGCACAGTAGCAGGCAAATGTTGCATCTATTTTCTATGCAAACTTTCTAAATGTCGACAGGACAAGTTAATGGAAAAATAGCTAGAGTCTGTGTGTTCTGCTGTACGATTGGATAGAGCGCAATCACCGCAGCTCTTTATCCCGTGTTAGTGGGCATTGTCGATATCAAAACCCAACCCTCAAGTAAGTCATGACGAACTCTTGTACTCAAATCTCACAAAACTCAGTTTTGGAAGATACTGACTTCATGACCAAAACGTACCTACTGGCACTTTTTAGTCAATTTTGGCAATGGAATAAATGTTTCTGACTAATCTCGATGTCACATATGCTGTTTTCAACGAGAGAAATTGGTTCTCGAGTTCAGATCTGGTTTAAGTTTAGACATTTTCGCCACACCTACAGCCTACTTCTTGTATGTCAGTAGCGCACTCCAAATGCAGTCACATAGTCTCGTGGTTAGTTTTGTGGTTTGGTGCATACAGCTTATAATAGGTAAGGTGAAGAATGGTCAAAACAATTAGAGGAACGAAGAAACTTTTAGTTTGACCATACAAAACATCTCAAAGTGGCTATTTCACTGTTATTAAATGCTTAAACTCACCCGCACATTATCACTTTCCATCTCACTGTCCTCTGTATCATCTGTATCTGAGCATGATGATGATGATGATGGCGATGTTTCCAATGGTTCCCAAGGCACTGACACCTTCACAACATCCTCATCTTCTGACTTCAACCAGTCTTCATTCTCTTCTTCCTTCACTGTAATTAAGGCAACTTCCTCTTCATTTACTGGCAGAAGGGAGCATGTTTCCTCCTCTTTGACTGGGACTGGTGAAGGCAGCACCTTACACAGAGAAAACATCATTCATTTAATATCATTCAGTATCAAGCTTATATCATAAAATTCATGAAAACGCGGTCATTAAAGACATACATGTATGTAAAATTATATTCGTACTCCTGGATTATTTTACTTCTACCTGATGCCTTTCATGAAGGTTTTCGATTGCGTTCTTTTTTCCTTAATCGAAAACCTTCATAAAAGGCATTGGGTAAAGGTAAATTAATTTACGAATATGAATATAATTTTACATATAACTTAAATGACGCCCTATTCATGAATTTGGTGATAAAAGCTTGACGCCCATTCAAAAACAGTATGGGACTTGCACCAGGAAGCAGGCGGGACTTTTATAAGGTATAACTCTGGGCTTTGTAACTGGGCTTGCACAGTGTTGAGGAGCTACTTACCTTGCCTTTATGTCCACGCTCTTGCTCTGTGACTCCATGGATGTCTGAAACTGTGTCAAAGGAGGGATCTTGTCCATCAGTGTCTTCTTTTTTTAAAACCTGGGACGTTTCAACTCCTAATGGCATAGCTGAAATCTGACATTCTTCAGCCTCCTCTTTAACCTCAGTCCAATGCAATGAGTGATCCTAGAACAGACCATGGTTGGTGTTAGAATAAACCATTTGATCAATAACACTTGTAGCTGATTGTTTTAGATATTGTGTAATTAAATTGTTGCTCATTTTGAAGAATGCATAACATTTGGCTCAACTTTCAAAAAGCTCTTCTGACTGACCAATTCTTTCACATCTCCCATATTGATCCATTGGATCCAATTTTCAGCAGATGATGATCATACTCGTGACCTGTCAATAACAAAACAAACCACCCAATTGTTGAGTTAGATCAAAAGGCTCAACAACAAAGCCAAAACAAAAGACAACAATGGCACCAATGTTGATGTTAGCTAAAGGGCAATTCCATGGTAATGGAATTTTGCTGACTCAGATTTTTCACTTTGAAATGTACACTACCAGTCAAAATTTGGACACACCTACTCATTCAAGGGTTTTTCTTTATTTTTACATTGTAGAATAATAGTGAAGACATCAACACTATGAAATAACACATGGAATCATGTAGTAACCAAAAAAGTGTTAAACAAATCAGAATATATTTTATTTTTGAGATTCTTCAAATAGCCACCCTTTGCCTTGATGACATCTTTACACACTCTTGGCATTCGCTCAACCAGCTTCATTAGGTAGTCACCTGGAATGCATTTCAATTAACAGGTATGCCTTCTTAAAAAGGTAATTTGTGGAATTTCTTTCCTTCTTAATGCGTTTGAGCCAATCAGTTGTGTTGTGACAAGGTAGGGGGGGTATACAGAAGATAGCCCTATTTGGTAAAAGATCAAAGTCCATATTATGGCAAGAACAGCTCACATAAGCAAAGAGAAACAACAGTCCATCATTACTTTAAGACACGAAGGTCAGTCAATACAGAAAATGTCAAGAACTTTGAAAGTTTATTCAAGTGCAGTCGCAAAAACCATCAACCGCTATGATGAAAATGGCTCTCATAAGGACCGCCACAGGAATGGAAGACCCAGAGTTACCTCTGCTGCAGAGGATAAGTTCATTAGAGTTACCAGCCTCAGAAATTGCAGCCCAAATAAATGCTTCACAGAGTTCAAGTAACAGACACATCTCAACATAAACTGTTCAGAGGAGACTGTGTGAATCAGGCCTTCATGGTCGAATAGCTGCAAAGAAACCACTACTAAAGGACACCAATAAGAAGAAGAGACTTGCTTGGGCCAAGAAACACGAGCAATGGACATTAGACTGGTGGAAATGTGTCCTTTGGTCTGGAGTCCAAATTGGAGATTTTTGGTTCCAACCGTTGTGTCTTTGTGAGACGCGGTGTTGGTGAACGGATGATCTCCGCATGTGTAGTTCCCATCGTAAAGCATGGAGGAGGAGGTGTTATGGTGTGGGTGTGCTTTGCTGATGACACTGTCTGTGATTTATTTAGAATTCAAGGCACACTTAACTAGCATGGCTACCACAGCATTCTGCAGCGATTCGCCATCCCATCTGGTTTGGGCTTAGTGGGACTATCATTTGTTTTTCAACAGGACAATGACCCAACACACCTCCAGGCTGTGTAAGGGCTATTTGACCAAGAAGGAGAGTGATGGAGTGCTGGATCAGATGACCTGGCCTCCACAATCCCCCGACCTCAACCCAGTTGAGATGGTTTAGGATGAGTCGGACCGCAGAGTGAAGGAAAAGCAGCCAACAAGTGCTCAGCATATGTGGGAACTCCTTCAAGACTGTTGGAAAAGCATTCCAGGTGAAGCTGGTTGAGAGAATGCCAAGAGTGTGCAAAGCTTTCATCAAGGCAAAGGGTGGCTATTTGAAGAATCTAAAATATATTTTGATTTGTTCAACACTTATTTGGTTACTACATGATGTGTTATTTCATAGTTTTGATGTCTTCACTATTATTCTACAATGTAGAAAATAGTAAAAATAAAGAAAAACCCTTCAATGAGTAGGTGTGTCCAAACTTTTGACTGGTAATGTATGTCAAACAAAACATATTAATTGCAAAGTTTAAGTAAATGTGTTTTTGTAAAATCTTCAATGGACCTTGTTAAAAGTAATTATTGTTCATCGAGTTGTATGGTTTGTTAAAGAACTGTGCAGATGCAGAATTTGTAACATAATGACAGTATGAATCTCTGTTTTTCTTATGTGACCAAGTTTTCCAAAAACATAAATATCTGCTCCGATTTACAATTCAAAAAAGTCTGCAGCAAAAAAATAACCAACATTGGTTATCAAACTACATTAAGGGTGTTTTCACATACAGTCCTCTTTAAAGTGAACTCTGGGGTAAAAATAAAAGAGCAAAATAACTGTATTCATTGTATTCACACTGCCCTTGACTTTGAATGAGGACTCAACTCTTTTGCAATTTCACTTCACCTATTTTGTGGTTCAAGTCCTCTTTGCATTCACATTGCTATGTTTAGAAAGGAACCAAGATTTTTTTCTAACATTCACTCAATACACTCTGGGTTTTTACAAAGTGTAGGACAAGCCATCCCATCAGAATGTGTTATCGGACAGCTAGATATACCTACTTACATTTTGGAAGCTAATTAACATTTACATTTTAGTCATTTAGCAGACACTCTTATCCAGAGTGACTTACAGTTAGTGAGTGCATACATTTTCATACTGGCCCCCCGTGGGAAACGAACCCACAACCCTGGCGTTGCAAGCGCCATGACCCTCCAACTGAGCTACAGGGGACTAATAGATTGCATTTAGTTAAAATATGAGACATAATAATTGTAATCAGAAGATACTATTAACATGTAAATTTGATTGGAAACAGAATAAATTGCAATAAAAAATTATGCTGTAATTGAAAATTCTACAACCAAGTTAGGCTACTGCCCCTTTAAGAGCTAGAATAGACTTTGTACCCTATGTTGTGATTCTCACCAAATATATTGTCTTCTCACTCTATTCAAAGCCCACAATTAATAAACAGCTTATGAAGCTCTATTAACCTATCGATCACATATTGCAAACAAATAATCTGAACGAAAAACTCCAGACATTTTGGATTTTCTGTGCGTCCTTGACAATCGCTAATCAATATCCAAAAACAGCACACATATTTATCCGCAAACCTGCACATCATCATTTTCTCTCTTTTGTGGCATCAATGTGAAGGTTTATGGTAGGGGAAACGGTGTTACAGTAGTCTAGTGTGTGGTGCGGGAATAATGACAAGGGAACCTGGGGAGCTTTGCGTTCACATTGTCCTAAAAAAGGAAACCGAACCGCAGAATTCAAGTGAACCGAACTCAGACCACCTCTCGAGATCGTCTCAGTTCAGTTCGCTTCGGGGGCTCTTTTGAGGTGTATGTGTTCCTTTGGAGTGTTCACACTGCACAAAAAATTAAGCTAACCGCACTGAGTTAACAAAAATTGTCTAAAAGGGACCAAGTGTGAAAACACCCTAAGTGAAGTGGATTAACACCCAGTAAAATAATGATATCATGGGTCCCTGATCTGTCCTACACAGAAATGCAAATTATGGATTTGAATGTCTTTCTATTCATGATGATGTAGCCTGAATAGTAGGTGCTTTTAGCAACGCAGGTGTATTTACATACTGTACACTAGCGTTGCTTTCATTGTATTGGGTTGCACAAAAACAATCTGTGGAAAGTCAGGAGTTAAATACAATTACATTTAAACTTACTGTGTCGGTGGACAGGACTGTTGGTCATTATGACAAGGGGGGAATTGAGACAAAATATCTAAAGGATTGTATAATTAGACTTTCCAAACGTGGGTCTGTTGTAGACCCACTTCCTCTCGGCTTATCTCATGTCAAAATAAAAGTAATCCACGTGCACCATATGTGGACCAAAAATGATTTACTTTTATTTTGACTGAAAATTATGTTTAATAATACAATCCTTTAGATATTTTGTCTGAAATCACTGGTCATAATGACCAAACATCCTGCCCACCAGCACAGTAAGTTGAAATGGAATTGTATTTAACTTCTTGCTTCCCACAGACTGTTTTTGTGCAACCCAATACAATTGAAAGCAATGCTAAGTGTATGTAAATACACCCGCGTTGCTAAATGCACATACCAGAATAGGCCCTTTTCACGATGACGTCATCTAACTTCCGCCTTTCCGCGTAGCAGGTTAACTTCACTTCCGTTCGCCCGTAACCTGAGACTTCTCAACGAAAATACAACTGTTGACCACTAACTAGCAAGCTAGCTACTTGAAGAAATTCCAAAAGGTACGTTTAAGTTAAATTAGTAAAGTTAAGAGTAATAATGTTTACGTATATGCAATGGTTTGTAACTTGCTAACGTTATTGTTAATTCATAATTGTTCACTGCCTTAGTTACTTAAAAGTGGGCTAACATTAGCTAACAACAACTTAGTACCAGATACCGATAACGTTAAAAGGTAGCGTTACATTGCTGCCTGGCTGTAATGTAACAAGTTTACTTAGCTAGCTATCTAACCCTTTGTTAGGCAGTTAGTTTATTCATGAATGTATAGTAACTCACCTATTCAAATACTGTTGTGCATGATAGCTAGATAAATATTGATTCCTGGTCAAAGCTGAATGTTAATTTAGCTGTTTCTTTTCTCCCGGTGTCTGTATCGCAACAGTATCCCATCCAACACCGAAGCATGGCACAATCTTCGAGAAGATGCTATTGCAGTGTACCATTTTGTTCAAACAACAAACAGAAATTCCCGTATCTGAGTTTTCACGATTTCCCTGTTGATGGAGAAATACGTGCCCGTTGGGTGAGGGCGATCAGGAGAGATGAGGGACCAAGTTTTAAGATTCTTCGTGGGAGCACCTTTGTTTGCAGTCAGCACTTTCCCCCTGAGGATAGATACACATCGGCCAGTGGACGGATCCGTATTAAACAGGGATCAGTGCCGTCTAGATTCCACTGGAATGATTGGGGTAAGGATAGGTAGACAGCGTTAAACGTAATACTACTGTAATCC